ACGTTACGTGCTCAGTGGTAAGCAATGGAAGATCGTCCGTGGATTGGAAACCGGAAGTGCTCATCTATCCTACCACTCGTGTTAATGATAAATACACCGTATCACAAGTTGGCACCTTGGCCAACAGAGATGATGGAATCTATCCGGCGTGAACTGGCCGGGCACACCCTCAAAGACACATTTGCATTTGTTGACAAAATACGGGATTAAAACCTAGATAGGAAACACGGGGCTTTTTTTGATGCATGCTCAATATTCACCCAGGTCCCAATGGAATAGACGTTCAACATCATCACGCTGACAAAGAAGTTTCCAGTGCATTACACCGTCTTCACTCCGTTTGTGGACAAAGAGCACTCAGTTCCAACCCAAGAGAACAAGATATCGTCCGATTTTCGCAACGCAAGAGAAATTCGCATACTATTTTGATAATCAGTAATCGCCTAAGCGGTTTACAGGGGACCTCGATTGGTGGCGGCTTGAAAAGGAAGTAGTTGCTCTGGGGGCCAGCACTGTTCTCCGCACATCCAAAACATGCACAACAGTAGAGGATGAGCCGTGTTATATCATAGTTAGACATCAGTCACGGCGGTTCGCCGCCGTCATCTACGGCACAGTGGCATAAGTCTCTGACTTGCAGGTGAGGTCACGGGTTCAGATCCACCGGATTTGCGTTACTGACAAGTTCCAATGGGACGTGAAGATCGTCTAGCGTTTCTCTGGATGTGTAGTGGCTGCCTCACTGTTAGACGGGCTCGCGCTTCACAGTCACTCACAGCTAGATGGTTTGATATTCGTGAATGTCCCGCCATGTGATTGTGTTGGACACACGCACGACAGCCGTTTAGAGCTAGACCGCTCACCATGCATGCCCATGTCCTTTCATGTGGTTGACCTGTTGATTCATCGATCTTTTTGCATCCCGGTTGCTCACCTTCGTCAGTTTTTCAATACAGCTCGTCCCGCGTGGTGATGTTCTTGCTTCCCGTCCGGAGTGGGTTCAGTTACAGTCAGATGTTAGAATAATCACTCAGTCCATCTGCGACGAATCTACTCAAAAAACACAAAAAAACCCAATTACTCTATAACTAGTAGGGTATTACTCCGCGATCACAAGAATGGCTTAGTGAGATCCAAGCAGCGGTGAACGCAATCTCCTTTGGGATCAGAACGCACTGCATTTTGAAAGCGGATGATCGAGACAGTGATGTAGAAGACGGGGCCAAGTGTGCATGTCAATTTCAAGGAGCAACTATCTGTTTAGTTGCCCTCCGGGAAGCAAGAAGACTGGGCCGCGATCACGAAGTCGTTTATTAGGATTAGGCTCGAATATTTATAGAGTATATACCATATTTACAACAGTCCGTTTCAACGGCTCATCCCTGTTATTTGCATTGTGTCGCTAGATCCTTTCCCATTGGTTTATGCTTGCTCGCCACGTTTATTCTGTCTAAAATCACCTTGACTTTCTTAGTGGATGTACGATTGGCGGGATTGGGTCCGCTCGCTTCTTCCCTCGGTCCAATGCCACAAACCTTGGCTCAAGGGTGCACGACTATGCGCTCCTTCGCCCGCTGGCGCCTGATTGGTCACTTGCACGTTCAGTGGATGGTTGCAGGCTGGATGCGATCCCGGGCCAACTATTTCCTGATTGGCTGACCAATCTGCTTCCGGCAACATGCTCACTCCCTATCGGTCTGGCCTGTGACGTTCGAGCACCATTACAGTATTTCCAGCCTCCAACACACTGTCCATGTACAAAAATCGTGGCTCGTACAACCTATGGGGTCGGAAGGAGAGGAACTCATGTGTGCGTGCGATCAAAACGCACACACGTAGTGTATGGAGGATATTACTACTGGCACTGCAGCGCACGATTTATATGGAGTCTAAAAAGAGGACGCTAAGAGAGTAGTTCGTGGCCAACTCGCATTAGACGGGAACACCCACCGTGCTCTCTTTTAGTGAGACCAGGTTCGATGAGTTTAATCCGTCTAATCGTACATGTGTACCCAAGTGCATTAGTTTTGGAACCACTGTAAGATGGTGGCAAAGTCAGGCATTACATTCATCGCTTGCACGAAGGTTCGATGATTCACCGTTTCACTCATGATGTGACGGTTAAATTTACTCCGGAATAGCTAGTTTTACTATGTATATAGGGAAATGAAGTCTTATACCCGAGAAAAATCAGACAAACACGGCCGTATAATAAAGCGGACAGTTTGTGCAAGCGGCACAAAACAAATGGACATACACAAAAGGAGCAGGCGATGTTGAGTCAGGCGGAGTGCTAAACCACCCTCGAGGTGCGTTGTTTACGCGACCGGAGTATGGGTAGAAGGAGAAGAGGGAAGGCCAAGCGATGACTTGGTCCCGAAGTATGAAGGCCCGCACTCCGAACTTGGCATGATTTGGTGCCTCCCTACTGCCAGGCTAGAGTCCCAAGGACGATGAACACGTTTGGTTCGATACACTTGCTGATGTGGCTAAGAGCCGGTCCCAATGGCGTTCGTGTTGTGGGTTCCTTTGTCCCTTTTCCAAGCAACCATGATCACACACCAAATGCGTAATATAATCAAAGCATTGTTACCTGGTCTAATATATATATATATTTATATATATATATACATATATATATGTATACATATATATATCGTTGGCGGCATCCAGTTTCGGATTTGCCTGTCACTGTGGCAAGCCACAGGACGCCTGCGCCTACAGAGGGACCATGGATGGCTTGCGCTGCACCACCCACAGCTCCAACCACATACCTCATATCCAGTGTAAACCCGAAGGAATAAGACCGGGAGGCATGCGGATGGGAACCACGTTTCATCAACGGAGCCGGCCCACACTCCTTCACAGGCAAACACAAGCACGCTGTATTTGGGGAATCAAACGCACACAAGACGGTGGCTGGACCGTAGTCCGCTCCACACTGAGTGCATGGAACCGCTCTTTGAGCCTAGCACGGCCACAAGAACCGTGCACCCCGTCCCCTCCAGCAACGACCAACTGTCTCCTGGAGCCAGTATGAACGATGTAGTGGGTAATAGACAGGTAGGCACCTTGTCAACATACACATCAAGCGCAACCATACCAGGGATATCAAACAACAGCCATTCAATTTAAACGACAAGCTAAAATAAAATAAATCCAATAATGCATACAGATACGGTGGCATAACTCTTCGCTAAATTACCATATGAAGTAAGTTGGTCAGCAACAAATCCGTGATAAGTAAGAAATGTCCACAAGTTACTTAAAATGCTACAAACGCAACAAAATTACCGAAGATAAGCGCAATTAGTGTAAGCAACGTGGCCAGTTAATAGAACATTATTCAGGGAGGCAGAACAAATCAAATAAAGCGGAATGAAATTTATCCAGCTTAAAAAGACCTAGTTTAAGTGTAAGTTGGTTTAGCCTAACTGCGGTGAAGAAGCATCAAGAATGCAACATCAGCCTCAGCATGGGGCACACATACATACATGGTTGGCGGCATCCGGTTTCGGATTTGCCTGTCACTGTGGCAAGCCACAGGACGCCTGCGCCTACAGAGGGACCATGGATGGCTTGCGCTGCACCACCCACAGCTCCAACCACATACCTCATATCCAGTGTAAACCCGAAGGAATAAGACCGGGAGGCATGCGGATGGGAACCACGTTTCATCAACGGAGCCGGCCCACACTCCTTCACAGGCAAACACAAGCACGCTGTATTTGGGGAATCAACCGCACACAAGGCGGTGGCTGGACCGTAGTCCGCTCCACACTGAGTGCATGGAACCGCTCTTTGAGCCTAGCACGGCCACAAGAACCGTGCACTCCGTCCCCTCCAGCAACGACCAACTGTCTCCTGGAGCCAGTATGAACGATGTAGTGGGTAATAGACAGGTAGGCACCTTGTCAACATACACATCAAGCGCAACCATACCAGGGATATCAAACAACAGCCATTCAATTTAAACGACAAGCTGAAATAAAATAAATCCAATAATGCATACAGATACGGTGGCATAACTCTTCGCTAAATTACCATATGAAGTAAGTTGGTCAGCAACAAATCCGTGATAAGTAAGAAATGTCCACAAGTTACTTAAAATGCTACAAACGCAACAAAATTACCGAAGATAAGCGCAATTAGTGTAAGCAACGTGGCCAGTTAATAGAACATTATTCAGGGAGGCAGAACAAACCAAATAAAGCGGAATGAAATTTATCCAGCTTAAAAAGACCTAGTTGAAGTGTAAGTTGGTTTAGCCCAACTGCGGTGAAGAAGCATCAAGAATGCAACATATATATATATATATATTCCGTATATAGTCCGTAATGCATTATATCTCGTTTTTCATATCTTTGGTATTGCGACACAATAGCTGGAGTGTTTCCCATCTTCAGTTTAAATGTACTGATGACGATGAGGCTAGACCCTTCAAGCTCAGCATGTAATTGACAATTTGTGTAGCAAGGAGGTTCATCAGCTTGTAGTTGTTCGAAAAACCCGATAGCATTCGCGCCACTTTAAAATCCGAATAACACTCATCGCTGTTCGTACCACTATTATTGTGTTAAACCAGCTTTCTCAGCTAGTTCAGCGTATCAACGTTGCCTCAATCCTCACAAGACTGGCATGTATCATCGTCAAATGGACAAGAGACATCTCGCATAAACACTGTACCTTTCGCTTGCTATGAAGAAATTGTCATTGCTTCTGCATCACAACTGTGATCCCGGATGGCAAACTCGTCAACCTATTTCCAAAGTCTAAAACTAAGCACTGTACCTAAGAGCAGGGCAACGTAGAGGAGCACAGAAAAAGTCTTCGTCAAAGAAGTGGAAAGGGGAATGAGAGCTGTGAATGCACCATGCCATGGCCGCAGGTGCGCAGACAGCGAAAGTCTTAGCAAACAACACAATACGGAGAGAAGTGCAAAAGTCAACGACGTCGGACGCAAGAGAATAACATTTGTAACAAAACAGACAATAACTTACTTCATCGGGTCCACACTCGAGGCCAGTTAAATTCTTGACACGGGTCTGAATTTTCTAGAATGTAAACACATGGCCCAAGAGTAGGTAAAGAGACGTACCGACAGTTCACATCGTTTATGCTCCACCGACTGTTTCAGGTGATTGACCCGATCCAACTCTGCAGCAAGAAACACGCAGCACATGAGGATACGACGTGAATGATTACTTACTCAACTTTAGAGCCGTCAAACGAGGGGACACAAGGTCTTCGATAGTGAAATCTAGCGGATTCGGATCAGGAGGTAGGTTTTCTATGACGGAGTAATGACAAAGTCACATATGTGATCGCATCAGGTACCATCTTGCGCAGGCCATCCGTTGTCATAATTGTAGTATGATGTGAGGAAACGAGCCTCCCGATTGAGAAGGATGTACTTCTGTTCAACGGTTAAATCAGGCTGGGCTTGATGCATACTGAGAGGTGTGGGGATAGCCCTAGGGTGGAAATATGCAAAATAAAGTCGGTTCTTAAAGACAACTGGGGCATGAAAGCCCGCATTGAAGTAAGTTCCACTGGAATAGCATGACGGGATTATAAGGTTCGAGGGAAGTTAACTCGAAATCTAAGTTATTTTCATCGCCTTATTTGATGCAAGTATAGATGAGCACCACGACAGGCTGTGATATATATTCTCGAAATGGCAACGACCAACGTGTGTGCGCACTCACGTGTCGAGACTCGCCACGTAGGAAACGTAAAAGGTGTAGATGAAGAGCAATCGTAAGGGAAACGGGCGCGTTTGATCCCTGAATCAATTCACAGTTCGCCAAAATGCATTTCAGAGTGCTATGGAAGGAGGCTGATACCTATCGGCAATGTATAGCTAGACAGAGTTAACCGTATGATCACCAGCTATGAAAACGAGATGGACTAGCAGCACCCAGTCTGACTATCAGTGACGTCACCTTCGGATTCCAAACCAACGATTACCGCCCTTGAACCGCATACCATTCTGAATGATAGGCAAGCATACATATGAAGTGTCGTGGCAATGCAGTTTAGTTGATCCGATTCGTCGATAGAAGAAAGTAACCTGACAAAAAGCATCTAGTACTCGCCCGCACACATCATAATTGGGGACAGGCTAATGCCATCTGACCTGAGTATAGCCTAGCAAACAGCGATTGTCAAAGAGATCATGGTGACTGAGACCTTTAAATCGAAGTCGCCAAGTATCTCAGAAAGACGGCTCTGAATGTGGTCTTGTGTTTGGTGTTTGGGACTAATAGGAATCCTTTTCTGATATCAAAGGTGTCAGAGACTCAAAAGAATTGTTATCACTTTGAAGTATGTAACCTGATCTCGGGAGTTGCTGAGACATAGCACTAGATCCGAATCATCACCGAAAGCATTATAAAAGTAATTTAGAGTGGTGGTTCGCTGCTATGCAATCATGGTGAAATGTGGAAGGAGGAATGCTAAAGAGAAAGGGGCATAGGAGCAAACATTTTGGATCAAGGAGTTTACACCTTATCTACAGCGCACGGTCATAACCCGGCTGTCTGTGGTCGTACGCCGTTGGTAAGGTGTAAGCGCCTTGTCTGAACGTTTACTTAGGGTATTTAAGTTTAGCACTAGGCCCCTCTCATAAAACAACGTCAGCAGTACGCCCATATCCCGTACCAACTCTTTGTTGCCACGCAGCCAGCCACCTCTAGTTGCATACAGACTAGATATACAACGAGGTCACCTTTATGCAGATTCGGACCGGCGACCTGTGAAGGCACGTGAAACACTGCCACGGGCCGAAGAAGCTAGCGATCAGTGCCTCGTTGTAAACTACACACATATGGCTACTACACTGACAGACGACGCCTATAAGAAGACCCAAAGAATTTGAACGTCCACCAGAGCGTGACATCGTGCTGGACGTCCTCGAAGTGGAGAGCAACATGTCTGCGTATTTGTGGAGATAAGTCAGTTCCGATGAGACACCATCGTTAAAATGCAATAAAAAGCCAACATTAAGTGTGCACTCAAAAATGGAGCTTATGTTTTTAGATGGATGATCTCAGATCAAAAAATTACCCGAATCCCAAGAAAGCGGTGCATGTTAAATGCTATATCCGGGATGCAGTACGATGGAAAGTAAAAATGAGGTGTCACATATTTATGCACGATAGCGCCTCGGTGAGTGTACCTTGAAACGGCCGTGAGCATACGAGTTTTAGCAAAGTGTCGCCCAACAACCATGGGGAGGCGACATGCAGGTCAATAAGGGTAAATATATCTGGTGACCTGAATGGGCACCACTGTTGAAACGCATGACTAGTAAAATTGTGGGACCGCCTTCTGACAGGAAAGAAGTGTCGAACTTTATTGTTGGATCTTGGAATACCCGCCGTGTGTCTGGATTGCGACCCGCAATCTCGATTACGGCCACGGTTTGATTCGAAACGAACCCCTGTCATTTCGATCACTAGAATGACATCCGAGGTGAAGATTTTCGGTGGATTAGCAAAGTGTAACGCGCGCAAACGGATTAGAAATGATGGTGGTTAAAATGGCGTCTAGACGTAGTCTGAGCCAATTAAGGGACAGGGTGGAAGTGAGTTGAAAAGTATAAGGTACAGCCTGAGGGCACTTAATCTTTGATACACAGAAACTGTGTAGGCGAACAAAACAGTAAAGGCGTTTTCAGGGAAAATTGAAGACGAGGAACGGTAGTGGTGCTTTATTTCTAAAATGTTCACAGTCCGTCGCAATGAGATCGCCCCTTAACGTGGTGCTATGGTATGTGTGCCTCAACGATCCACTGAACTATGTCGGGTGGTGCATTCTGTTCCTCTAAAGCCACTCAGGTCAGATCAACCGATGATTGGAGGTCAGACAATTTCGGCCTCCTGTACTGCAATTTGGGAGTTGGAATGAGAGTGGCTTTTCGTTCATGAAAACGGACTCCCTGTAGCTCATTGCTAAACTCCCACTGCCTTGAGGCTAGGTTTTTGAACCTAACCTTTCTGCTCTCAAGGCCTGCGTAAAGTGACGGTATCCTGACAGTGAAGTATAATGAGACCTTTAAACAATTGATTGATGCTCTGACCTCCGCAAAGGATAAACAGCAGCGACTTATCTACTTTATCTAGCGGGGCACATAGGGGTAATAACGCTAATGCTCAGGCTATCAAGTCCATTTGTTGGAGCGTCATTATGTGCGATTCAGGTTGAACTAATATGGTTTTTTTGCAAACCACCAATGCTAACAAAAATCAGAAGTGAACGGTTTGAGGCAAAGGCGTGTGTTGAAATACCAGCTACCGAAACTGATACAAGTAGATAAAATCGGTGGATATGCACAGGCCCACCTGGGAATGTTCGCTCCTCTAAAAGACTGGGGCTCCTGCCAAAAACGGCATTATAAGAACCGATCAGTAAAGTGAGGAGGTAGGTCAAATGTCACGTGACAGATGTGGACGTTCCTGAAACGATGCGCTTCAGCCGTACACCATGGGTTCAAACGGTTTCCGCATTGAAATAAGGTTATTATTTCGGATGATTTACCTTCTCCCTTCTTGAGTGTAAAATGATATCCTTGGGTTGACTTACGGTCTTGAAGACGACGTCCTTCGTATAAGTTGAAATGTCTTCGGAAGTAGCTCTGGACTATCGTCGGCATTGTTCGGTTGACTGTAACCCTCCATGCCGACTTTCGGCAAGTCGAAGTGATTCACAAGGTTTAAGTGCAGCTCAGTTGACCTTATCGTTTCTGGCTTGCACGGCGTTCGGTGCAGCTATGCATGGCCGACCCGGGTTTGTGATCCAATTAGCATATAATGTATGACATTCCCACGTTGGTATTTGATCGCACTGGTAGTCACATGTAATTGGATGTTGCTTTCCTCTGTTCCGCCGATGGAAGTCGTGTTCCATTTTTCGGTCTCGTTCAATGAATGAGGACCGTGGGATTGACTGGACCTCATCGAATGGCATGCGGAGACACCTGTGCTGGAGTGTCACTGTTGAAGAAACTAGGTCCAGTGCCTATGGGTTTAATGCGGGCCGATATAGGAAAAATGAAGCGGTTGATAACTTCCTCGATACGCCCCCCCCCCCGAATGCTTTGAGGGAAGCTGGCTTGAACTGGGAGGAACGAATGCGGTGGATAGTGCATCGCTTGCGGAACTCGTGAAAATCGTGGATGTGAACTGCGTGGTGTTAGCAGAATAATCGAACCTCCTGAAGATTAGCCGTAGTCTTGACAAAGTGGCATTGGTTGTTGTGCTATCATTGAGAAACACATCTGGCCATTTGCCGTATGGTGCGACCACAACAAGAAAACCCTGAGTATTGATCGGTCCTGCGAAGTCGATATAAATACATCATCGTTTCGTTGTTAATGGCTATGAATGGAGCGCTGCTTCTATTGGCGTTTTTAGAAGGCTGGCAATAATAATAACAATAATAACAGTAATAATGAATCAGCTGTACGCTTTAACGGCGTTTCGCTGCCGCGCGCAGGCTGAATATACCGCGAGGATGCCCACCGATGGCTGATTCGAACTAGGGGCCTTATGGTTGCAAATCAGGTGCGCAGGCCACTAGGCCACCAGCCGATACACTTTTACAAACGTTTCGCTAGTTTTTCCAGTTGTCTGCCCAAATAATGCCAATAGAATAAACTGTGAATAAGCGTCTCCATCCAGTTGATCCCAGGATATCCTGCATGGAATTGCGGAAGCACGCGTTCATCTAAGGTTTAAGGGGTGACAACGTTTTTCGAAAACAGCATGCAGTCATCCATAAGAGAGAGCTAATGTCGCCTCCGATAATACTGTTGTAATTCAGTTGATGAACATGAACGTGACTAACTGGTTTCGTGGAACTGTGTGACCGGTTTGAGGAGTGGGTCACGAAACATTCTAGCTCGTACAGCTTCGACAGTGACTGACAGGTCATGTAATGCGTTACTCACGAGAAATTTGGCGTCAGGTTCAAGCTCGACTGCAGATATGATCGCTTTTTCTTTCTCTTGCTGGTCAGAGACAATAAGGTGTAACAGTGTGCTTGCTTTACCGGTGGAAACCACCAATTGGTATCGAACAGCAACTGTACCCACGGACACCGCGGATTTTTGAAGCACCGTGTGCTGGATACTACTTTTGCTTCGGATTACTGTGTTATCAGTGTTTTTTCTGTGTGAATTGTGTACAAATATTCTTCTTTCGGCGTATTTTCCAATTGGTGCAATTTTGGTGGCTATTCTTTGGCTAATTCCCGAGAGCTCATTGATTTGCCCTACTGCCATCTCTGTCCGCCATCTTGGATTTGCTCTACCATGTGATGCTGTCTCAACCTACTCGTGGTTCGTGTTCCAAAGTTGGGGGAAATAAGGCTCATGCACTTCGGTACTTCGGCTGCGATGTCTTGTTCCGTATTTCGTGCATTGGCTTATCTGTTGACGTGTTTCGAAAATCTCTCGACATTCGATATCGGTT